ATTTCATTTCGGCAAATTGGCACGAAACGTAATATTTGAAAGTAAAAAATCCGCCATACTTCTATGTACAATTACCTAACCCAACTAGCATTTATAGTCGCGATTACGTAATTACGACTATTGGGTCGACTATTAAGTAATATTTACTAGTTGCGGTTACGTTATAATTACGTCGTTACTACGTATTTACGACCAAAATGGGGAACAAATCACGAGTAATCATTACGGTTTGCCGACGTAGCGGGAACTCACACAATTACGTAATGCTTACGACCCGTCGACGTCGAAATTACGTAAAGATGTAGTAAATTTTCCTACCTGACTTTCTATTTCTTTTCCACTTCATAAAAATATTATTTCCTCTCTTTATTATTCTTCATTTCATCCATGAAGTTCACATTCACGAAAATTGAACAAGTCCAATATGCCTAACCATTCAATAAATAATACAAGGACAAACACGCGAAATAATTGATACTCGAACTTGAAAAATTCGAACAACATTCAGTTTTTCGATAAATGTGATGATTTTGCCTCGAAATTCAAGATGCGCCCACAAAATACGGCTCATTTCACCAAAAATATGGTTTTATTTCATTCGGCTATTTTTCAAAAATCATCGTAAATCATGTTAATTTCCATTATTATGCAATTTGTGATCGAACGAATGCTATTATTCTTCATAAAATGATGTTTATCAACAAGAAAAACCAAAATTATTTCCTGTTCAAATGGTTATCACATCAATCAATATGGCTTCCAATCGAAAATGAATCAGAAAGTTACTTTTGGAACTCGTCAGTTATGATAACCTATGTATTGGTAACTTCAACTGAATATAATTACCGAAAAGTTGTTTCAACTATGAAGGAATTGTTTGAGTAGGAATTACCAATATGTTACTTGAAATATCACCAAGAATTGACTAAATTATTAGGTGATCGATCAAGTAACGACAACGTCGTAGAAACCTAATTGGTGACCATAGAGTAATTGCAACTGTGAAGCCTTCTTGGGGTGGTAAGCGTTACCGTAATAATATATCCAAAGTTCCGAAACCTTAAGAGTAGTTTTGAGGAGTGACAGTTTCGAAATAGTTACTTCGTAATAAGCCATGAGAATTTCTCACTTTGAAGTTATTATCTAGTGTAAAAACTACGTAATTTTCACTCACTAAATAACTATCACTGACATTTATACTATGAAGTTCTGAAATAAGTGATAAATACGTTATTATCACTAAATATAGGTAATAGTTTCTTGAACCATGGTGCCTGTGACTGAAAATGCTAGTTGGGAAGAGCTACCTTGTATAACGTAATCACGAGTCATTGCTGACACACAGTTTCGGACGTTTGTTAAATCCTTACACTTCACCGGAAGCTATTTTCGATCCTTCATGATTCAAGCTGGACATACGGCTTTCAAAACATTCATCAATCAACTAGGCCATCAGAGTCCCAAACAAGTAAAAAGTTCTTCAAAAAACATATCCACGTCATTGCGAGCGTTGGTTTTATCAAAACATTACGATACCGCCTCGTATCATCGGTTTTGTAGACAAATGAAGGGTTTTCACAGAAAATAATGATGAGTCATTATCGTACATGTGGGAATATTCATTATTTATTTTTTCATATACTGTGACCAGCATGAAACGTTCCACCAGAAATGTTTTGGAATATTCTCCGGAATTTCGACTTTGGGGACTCGTAAAAATTTTAGGTCTATCCATAAGGCTTTCTTCGCAAGAAATTCAAAGCAAACCCACCAGATCTGGTGAAATTGGCACCGCAAGGAGTCAGAAAACCATGAAAAACAGATGAGAAGAAGAAGAATTCCAAAGCAACCTGTAGAGCAACTACAGGCAAACAATACTACAGCAAACTCTATGATTGCAAGATGACTATACAAAGTCATTGATTCTTCCAAGATCATTTCTGGGGTATTGAACAATAATTTGTTTGAAGGTAAAAGTAGTATGCTCACAAATATTGGTGTTTAGCTTTGTCAGTAAAAACGGTCTAACGTGAGACATTTTGTGCTGGCTTCGGTAAATGACACATCTATAATATAATAGAATAAAAAGAATAAAAAGAAAGGGATATTAATGAAAGTGTTACGAAAAAAATTAGAGAAGTCAATAAAGATATTATTATTACTACTATTACAAATATATCTGAACTAAAAACAAGAGGGTAGTAAGCCAACACCTCATTCATTAATCTTATTTTTTTATATCATATCCGAAATGTTTCGTCGTGGTTGACTCGAGATGAATTGTTCCAGTGCTTTTTTAAACGACTGTGAATAACTGATTTTCTGTATGTGTTGTGGAACGTTTTGTTGTGTTGTACAATTTTGGTGCTATATATTTATAACTACGTTAGCCTATAGCTTTCTGCATTTGTGGAACTACGTGATAATATTTTTTCCTTGTAGGGTATGAATGATTGGGTAGGTTAAAACGTTAATTCTGGTAATATTTTATATTTATTTGGAGATTAAAGAGTTGGCGTATGTCAAACACTTCGGCTTTGTGGAATGATGCGTCAGAGAAACCTTGTTTGCAGATTTTCTAAGGTACTGTCACGACTAGAACATACGGTATATTAGAAATTTCGAACCATGAGGGTTTTATAAACATAAACTTAATCAAATTATCCGTTGACATTGGATTATGAGAACTAACCAAGGAACAATTCGCTCTATAAAATATGGCTGTATCGTCATCAAATCCCAATATTTCTCCTCGACTCTTCAACGAAAACATGCCATTCACATAAATACTAAATAGGGTAGGGCCTAATACGGTCCCCTGAGGTACACCATACTCTATTTTTCTCTTGTCACTATGTATATTGTATATATGAAATGAACAAGTATCTCCTTGATAGTTTTCTATTCATCATCTTCACGACAATCAAGTAGTCAGAAATGTTTACATCACATGTATGACAGTTCTAAATGATTAATATCGACCTAAAAATCCCTTTTTCCGTATTGAATCATCCCTCTCTCGAGACGGTTTATTTACTGTACACAGTTGATATAAAAAACGGCCATAAAATGCGAAATGAAAATCATAATATATCTGGAGATTTATCTCAGCGCCTACTAGTTCATCTCTCGCTATGAAATGGCGCAGAAGTAACACAATCGCACCGAGTCTGGCAAAGTATCAATGTGAAAAATACCCGAGATATATCATCCGGCTTATCATCTTCGAGCATAAGTCGTGAGAGTGGCGTAATGAAAAGAGTGAAAAACGAAAGGAAAAAATGACATGGAATAAACTAGTCAGCATTCGGGATGTAGCGCAGCACAGATTTCTCGAAATTTGGAAGATTGTTAGGCACTGCGCATACTCGTCAACCAGCTGATCACGTGGTAGCCGCCACCAAATTATAGACTAATCTAGACCCCCAATTCTATAGGAGTAAGGTGAGCCAGTCAGGAAATCGAACTGGTGAATCTGATTCATGCGCATGTAGGATCTGTCATGTTACGCTCATGAATCCGAGGAACATAGGCGTATCGAAGGAAAAAGGTTGAGAGGGGTCATGTTGTGAGAAACGAATTGAATATGCCGTATTCAGGTGTGATAGATTCCAAATACTCAGATTTGAGAACTTTATTAAAGAAACGGTGAATTTGCATGTCCTGGATGTGCCTGGAAGCATCAAGCATTTTCGATAGACGAAGATAACGATGAGCATTACTTCAATAAAATGTCGCAAATTGAATGGGAGCCATGGTTATTGAAAGTAACGGAAATGTAACGGCTATAGTTGGAAATAGAATTCACTTTGATGCAATGTAAATCAATACAGTCAACATATCGATCGTTACCATTTCAATAATTATTCATCATGCTGAAATGGAAACGTTAGATCTTGATATTATTCTTTGTCGAATTAACATTTCTTCCCGAGACATTATAACTGATTTTGAGGTGTGATGTTCATGAAGCAACAAATTTCCTACGATCGGGAATGAGGACTGATCTTCAACTTCGAAGAGTTTATAATATATTATCTAATATCTGAGCATCTTCCGATAGAGATGTACACTGAGGAAATAGTTGAGAAGAATTATAGCAACACCAGCTATCATTCATTATGAGACACGTTACAAGTCGAGTTCAAGAAAACGAGTTGGTTACAAACATTACGTAGTCGATAGACGAAGATTACGATGAGGATAACTTCAATAAAATGTCGCAAATTGATTGGGAGTCATGGTTATTGAAAGTAACGGAAATGTAACGACTATAGTTGGAAATAGACTTCACTCTGATGCAATGTGAATCAATACAGTCAACATATCGATCGTTACCATTTCAATAATCATTCATCATGCTGAAATGGAAACGTTAGAACTTGATATTATTCTATTATAACTGATTTCGAGGTGAGATGTTCATGAAGCAACAAATTTCTTCCGATCGGGAATGAGGTCTGATCTTCAACTTTGACGAGTTCATAATATATTATCTAATATCTGAGCATATTCTGATGGAGATGTTCACTGAGGAAATAGTTGAGAAAAACTATAACAACAACAGCTATCATTCATTATGAGACACGTTACAAGTCGAGTTGAAGATAACGAGTTGATTACAAACATTACGTAGTCGATAGACGAAGATAACGATGAGCATTACTTCAATAAGATGTCGCAAATTGATTGGGAGTCATGGTTATTGAAAGTAACGGAAATGAAACGACTATAGTTGAAAATAGAATTCACTTTGATGCAATGTAAATCAATACAGTCAACATATCGATCGTTACCATTTCAATAATTATTCATCATGCTGAAATGGAAACGTTAGAACTTGATATTATTCTTTGTCGAATTTACATTTCTTCCCGAGACATTATAACTGATTTTGAGGTGTGATGTTCATGAAGCAACAAATTTCCTCCGATCGGGAATGAGGTCTGATCTTCAACTTTGACGAGTTTATAATATATTATCTAATAAGGTGTACTTACATCGTGATACCAGGAGATCCGGTGCTGTTTGGGATTCGCCCTAATGCTACACTCGAAGTAAACGTCGTCTCCCTCTTTTATCTCTTCGGGATTGAGGGTGTTGCCGAGATGAAGGACCACTTGGGGGGGATCTGGGCAAAATAATCATATACGATGTTTATATCCAACCACTAAGTACTGAGCAAATTAGTGAATAGATTGTTTGGTTCGATTCGATTAGTTGAATGGAAAATATCATAATGTCTAATCTTTATGCACTGTTATCGTTCATCGGTATAAATAATATTGTAATGAAGTTGAATATTTCATCATTTATGGGTGACTAATCCATAATTTACGACTATATCATTCATTTTTGGGAATGATACACCTGGTTACAACGAATCTATTAAACATTTTCTGGATCGGAACATGATATTTTCAGAAGTTTTGTCGCTTACTCCATTTTTGTAGGATCACTTTCAATATTGCATCACAGGTGATGTCAAAAAAATTATCATCGCAAAGTTTTAGTGTCTAGTATGATAGATCGATAGAAAAAAAAGTTGACATTATTATATTTCCGTGTCTAACTATCATTGTTCAAAAGGCAACAATTTTTTAACAAGAACTAACGATACTAATTTATTTGCAATTGGATTCAAAATAAATACATACATTTATTATAAGGAGCATACTGGATATTTATTCATTCATTTACATTTGTCAAGTGTGCCATGGATAGCCATGATGCATACAAGTTTGCAGGTATCCACTTTTCACTTTGATTATACATTATTTCAACATGAAATTTAACTGAAATCTAACAAAAATAAAGAGACTTCTACTGATTGCATACATATAAGGCTTATGTCACTGTCATTACCTGAGGGTTTACTTCTCCAAAGAAGACCCGAAAAAAAAATAACTGCAAGATATTATGCAGCATGGCTATCCATGGCACACTTGACAAATGTGAATGAATAAATATCCAGTATTTTGTTTAGTAATATTGAATTTAGGTTCTTCAATAAATTAGTATCATTAGATTCGTTCATGAATCCTTTTTGTTCTCGGAAAGTGCTTGTCAAAAAGTGGTTGCCATTTGAAAAACAATAGTTAGACATGGAATTGTAATTTTGTCAACTTATCTTCTTACTATCTATCATACTATCCACTAAAACTATATAATTATAATTTTGCTGACACCACGTGAGGTCCTTAGATGAGTTAACGTTCGATCATGGCCACCTAGATGCAATATCAGAAGCGATTCTAAAGAATTGAAGTAGGCGTAAAAACTTCTGAAAATGTTATATTCAGATCTAAAATTGTCACAGAAATTGAAAAATGTTACAATATACAGGGTGTTACAGATTCAAAACCGGAGCCATCACCGGTGGAACCCGTATCCCCACATAACATATAACCATATTGAATTTTATGTTGATACACTCAATATTCTAGAAGTTATGACTTGTCTCATAGATTTGTTGAAACCCGTGTATACATTATATCTACCATTCGTGGATTGAATTACATAATCAATATTAGCGAATTTGCAGCCATGAGAAAGTACTTGATGAATTTATAAAGTATATTCCCTAATCAGGTAACAAGTGATGGCAATTAAAACCGTTGTTTAGGTATCATCACCAAATAAATCGAAATCCATCAACTGGCATCAACTATGAATATTATAGCTGAATTGAAATTCGTTTTTTATGATTTGTTTCTGTAGCATGATTCTGTTGTATTGAATTGATCAGATATTCTTGTTCATTATACCTATCAGAAAGCTCAATCATTCAGGTCGATTTTGTTTTTTAAAAACCAACTTTCTGACATATTAATTTTTCTCTCAGGTATTCTATAAATTATATATATAATTTTAATTCTATAAATTACCCTTCATATTCTTGAAGCCCAATTATTGAGTTTCAAAATGCAAAATTGATTTATAAGGAAATCTTCTACTTACCCCCCAATATGAAAAGAATTCCAAATTATTTCTACACTCAAACTAAACATCAATATTTCAATGAATTGAGAAATATCTTATGTAATGGAAATGAATTCACAGCTAATATGCTAACGTAACTTTTCAGAAACAGATGAATTAATTAAGTTGCCATATTATTCGGAAAGGTAGATCTTTGGAGAATTTCAATTAAAGAGTTATTCCATGTATTCGGGGAATATTAATTAAAACGTTCGTCAGTTGAAAGGGTATCCACTATCACAATCGTAACAAGCTCATAAACATTTTCACCAATTAATATAATATATTCCACATTTGAAATTTAATATTGGTTTCATACCCACTCTACTGAAACATCCTACGTGAAATAATATCATTTGAAATTTAATCAGCTTTTACTCCATGTTCACTCATTATATTGACGAGTACATTGCAACAGTACAGCTAACAACGCCACATAATAGTTTCACTTCTTCATGAGAACAAAAAACTTTCATACTGAGTGTCCCAGAGCTTTAAGGCCAGCAGATATCCGTGTTATATAACAAAAAAGACAATCTACTAAAAAACACCCCTTACTTTCATACTTCAAATTGTACCCCCATGCCCTATGTTTCTTTCGATTCATTTTATGGAACTTTTCATTCCCGATCCGACTTTACATCACGATCGATATAGCGTTATAGTTAAAATTATGAAAATGCCATTGTGGAAGGAGAAGATGGTATGCCTGCGCGCATATTATGTGACGTCATCTGGGATACCAACGACACCTGCTAGTCAAAGACAGATACAGTCGCCATAGGCATGCGCTATGAATCGAATCGAGTTCATCAAGTTATCTATGAGTTCCTTGATCTGTCTAGAAATGAGTCAATGTATATAAATAGGTACTTATTCCTTCGATTTCACTATTTCATTGATACTGGAATTTGTTATCTTTCAGTAATTCGCTAACACATACAGATTATATTATGCATTGCCAATCTTATCGAATTATCCTCCTTTGTGTCAATTCTGACAGATTCAAATTCAGAAGTTGACGTCACTCCTGCTTCGACATCGATAACAAGAGTATATTTTTTTGCCGTTCTGTTTTCCATATATTTGCTGCAATTAATATTTTGTTAGAATTTGAGTATTTTGAATCAATTTTCAATTATTCCTTACTTAACTTAACTTGATATCAGACGGAAGATGTTCTGTGGAAATTGCTTCATATTTCAAATATTTGTATAATAATGGTTTTTTGAAGGTGTGTAATTCAACAACCTGTTCCTATTTCAGAACTTTTTCAAAAAAGTTTTGCATGGAAATGTTCCGAACAAATACATGCTGGAATATGAATGAATATAAATGATATATTAGAAAAATACTTTGGAATAAGGATATAAGGAATGTGAGGTAGAGGTACCAATAATTGAATAAGTTCATTTTAGGTCGGCAGCAAGCTTCCACTCATCTTTTGATAATGTTATAATGAGAAAAAACTTTGGAATGAGGATATAAGGAATGTAAGGTAGGTACCAATAATTGAGTTAGTTCATTTCCGGTTGGCAGCAAGCTTCCACTCAGCTTTTCATTAGGTCTCCATCCTTGGAAAAACAGAAATATTCAATATCTGTGCCATTCGTGAATTTTTATAACCAGAAACGACAAGAGTAGGCATCTTGAAACTATTTTATTCAATTTTCGAGCTTACATATTTGAATTGGGACATCGAAAAATAATAACAATGACAGTTATATTCCAGTTTGCGTCATGCACAGAACAAGACGAGTTTCAACTTTCTGTCCAACACATCATCTTCTCCTTCCACTATGAAAATAGTACATTATACATCAAGGGACAGAAATGCAAGATTTTTAGAGATACGAAGCACCGAAATATTGTAACGTCTCACTTTACGTGACCAGTTGTGTAAAGTAGAATATATTACATAACTGGTGATGACATATTCATTCCAACATCAGTTACGTAATGGAAATATGGATGAACGAAGAAAATAGAATCACACATCGCAGGTGAATCACATTTCAAACCTTCAGTGTATCAGGACCGTTTTGGCAAAATCTTCATCTATTTGAATTATTATTTGTCTCTTGCAGGTCAGGAATAAAGACGCTCTATTTGGCTACAGGCTATTGAAATACCTTCTGAATGACAATCTCAACCACATAATGATAATGATATTCTCGAGACATTTTGAAAAAAGTGATTTCAATGATACGAATGGAAGAACAAGGAGAAATGATTTGATGCAGTGTCAACATGTTATAATAACAAGTTTTGACATCAGGTCTCTATTAGTTGAATCAAATCTCATTTTCAAGAGAAAAAGTTCTCATTCTCTCATAGAACCTTCAATGACCTTAGCATTTTTTAAATTGAGCACTCATTTCAACAATCAATTAGGAGTAGAAATGACAGGAAGTTTGTGATTTCCACATTTCATCGAAAATCGCTTTCAGAATTGGACATCAGAATTCATTTTCTTGATTTTCCATTTCCATATTGAATAAATAGAATATGTTAATTTGATTCACTCGATTTATAATATTTTCAAATTTTCATAAAATGAACTGTTCCATGACACAGCTAGGACTTTGATTTGAACAAAAATGTCTGCTGATTCAATCATGAATAATAGGGATTGATTTCAGTAGCACACTAATGCTTGGTGAACGCAGTTATGTTCATGCCCCCAATATTTCGGCGATGAGCATTCCAGAAGCGATCAATTCAATTTGCCCTCGTTCATATCTCTTCTCTCCCTGATTCAACATACACTCAGTAGCACAGCTTTTAATATTTATTTTTAATTTGAAGTTGGAACTGTTTCGGTACCTGGCCACGTGTTCCCCGAAAATCCAATTAAACAAATTCGTGATGTAGGCCGCCAAATAATATAGCGAGCAGGCAGGATATAACGCTGCTCGCAGAAAGTCCTATCTACGCCAGAAATTTCTAGCGAGCTGAATGGGTACAGTAGCGCAACAAATGCGCTTCTGGTGCTATACAATATTCTGGATTCTGGATATTCGAAGTATGATTATCTACAAATGACGAAGAATTCAGTGAACTATATTTTGATTTTCAGATGAATGAAAACACTCTAACTCGAAGAAAATACATTCAGATTCGGAAGAGTGAAACAGCGCTGATCATTGAAGATCATATTTGCCAAATCTTTGTTCGTCAACAGTAGATTATCGATTTGATACATTTGATCTAGAATACTCATAGCTAATCTACTACTAGAAAAACGACGATAATTTTCTGTGGAAATGAGTCTTGAAATCGAAATAATGGTACTTTTGCCCAGGTGAGTTATCTTGAAAACACTGATGAATGAAATCTTTATGAAAAAAGTTGCTGCATGTTGTAGTACCGAAGTCATACCATGGTTATATACTTATATTTATTGTCCTGGCTAAAACAGGGTGTTTCTTTATGAAAAAGACATATTGCAACCTAGACTGGACGATATTGAAGTGAGTTCAGATCACCTATTCAAAATTTTCAAAATCTCCTCTCAATCGATTCACAAAGAATTTTCATTCTTATTGTGCACACTCATTTCATCAGTGATATTCAACATATCCTCGAATAGTCGACTTCAAATATACTGGTCTAAACTTGAGGAGAAAATGTTTGAAATTCAATGAGAAATCACCTCATGGTTTCGATGTTGGAATTCAGAAGAACATCACATGTTGATTTGCATTAATTCTCTGATGGATTTGTTACACTTTTATATTTCCATTATTTTGGAAATCAATGCAATTGAATTATCCCTTATCAATGATTATGGAAATTCATGTGTCTTCAAATAATCTTGAATCCATATTTCAAGGTCTGTTTTGATTGATTACACACACACTGAAATACCCATGATCAAACGAACTGAGGATTTCATGGCAAAATAATTGGCCGAATCAATAAAACTATATCATTCAGTGAATTATTAATTTTTCAATTATGTCTTGGATTTTCCATTTGAACCATTCTTGAATGTGTCACTAATGCAATTGAAGTGCAAAATATGAATGAATTTGGTTGAACTTCTCGGGAGAGAATGAAATACAATATTCTTGCCGAATAATCAACAAACACCTTTATTATAGGAGAATAAGATAAATATAGAATCTGAAAGAGGTGAATTGAATTCACCTCAATATGTGCAGATGTGCACGTTGAAGCTAGTCCGTTCAATGAAGATACACCCATTATTCAACACATCATCTTCATTTAAATATGGTAGAATAGCGGTGAGAGTTCTAGATACTTTCTTCAAAATTTTCATTATTCATGAAAATTGTTTCGAAATCCTCTTCAGAATTCTACTACCGACAAATGAAGATAACTTCCGACATAAACGACTACGACGACTTTGTGTGAACCAAGCCATCGCAATATGGGTAACAAGTGTCAAAAACATGTATCTAATGATCTTCCTCAAGTAAGATTCGAACCCGCCTCTGTGTGAATCGTCGTTCACATTTACATGAAGCTCGTATCGCGGTTTTTATTATTTCTTTGCCGCTACAACCGTTACAATGATTTCCATCTTATTAAGAATGCGCGGAATTGTATTCCACCTCGGTAATAACTTACGCGCTGACAGATATTCCCTGAAATCGTCCCACTGAATTTCAACACTCACCCTTTTGTCGCGTCAGCGAGAAATGTTCCTTGTATGTATCCATTATTGTCTATGACTATGAATATATCGAAGTGAATCGGGGATTGTTTAGTTGCTCTTAGATAATTAACTGTCATCATCGTGAAGTTCTCATTCTGTACAGGCTATGGATTATTCCATTTCTACACTCGATATGAGAAATCTATCTCAGTTTCCCCTTCAGTACGTGATAGTATAGAATATGATAATGATTGATTGTATAAAAAGTTGAGACTCACAGACGACGTTCATCCTGAAGAAATCATCCAATGCCATACCTGGCAGTTTAGCATTTTCGCCAATGCATTTGAAAATGCCACCATCATCTTCCGGAACAGGAATGAAAGTCATGGTATTGATAACCGAAGTATCATTACCATCTTCGATAACCTATGAGAAAACGGAATGAAAGTTCGAATTCACCACGTCATTTCTATTCGTACCTTTCCTCTTCTGAATGGACGATTGTCTCTGGTCCAAGTGATCAGAGCTTTAGGTCTCGACCCTCTCACCTCACATTGCACAGAAATCTCTTCATCTGCTACAAGTTGCCTTGGTTTGTTGATGATTATCACAGCTATAGGCCGTACTAAAAACAACAAATGGATAATCATCGTGAATGAATTATATATTTTTAAATTTCTGCTATCAGCCATACACACCTGGAAAAATATCTTCTCATAGGAAAACCATCTATTGAAGAGAATATGCATGAAGATTTATGGGTATCTCATAGGAAGAGAGTGACGTAAGCGGCGTTGCCATTATACCTACTTGTGTGTAGGTCGTGTGGCAAACATGTGACGAAGCGAAACAGCGTACGAAGGCAATATTTGGCAGTGTTGTTTCGTTTCAGATACTCCTAAACCTCTAAGCGTATTTCCCTCGATTACCACATGAGAAGATTTTTTTGCCAGCAATGTATACCTATTTATCCGGATCGAACTGTATATTGAAGAAAATAAACTCACATAGTAATTCCAGTCTCACAGTCTTTTCAACAGGCATCATCAACTTGGTGTTGCTGGCTTGACATTTGAACGTAGAGTTGAGATGATCTCGCGTAACGCCACTGATCTCCAGTCTGTTGACAATCACATGATTGCCTATGACTTCTACATTGCCTTCCACCATCCTCTCGTTGACAAACCAAGAAACAGTTGGTGTAGGACGGCCTAGAATGAAAAAAAGTTACCTATTTGTTTCACTAGACAGAAAAGCATATACGTCTTGGCTATAAAACGCCAGCCGTGGCATTGAATATGCTGTTCTGCCATGTGAAACATATCATTTTTCTTCGAATTCGTTCAGAGTTTACGCAATTATTTCTTTGGAAGTTGCATAGCAACAAACTAGTGCACCTCATCTGCCTGTCAAGTGTCAATATGACTCTCAACAGACATAAATATTGTATTTTTACTGTCTAGGGGAAAAAAGTTTGTTGCTATGTAACGTCCCAAGTAATTCGAATGACATAGGAGTGAATGATAATTTTTGTCGGTTACTCGACCGAAAAGATACAAATAATAATGAATGTGATGAGAAGCCTCAATTTCGAGTGACAACAGAAAATGAAAAAACTCCATGCTCCCGCGTGGGAGTCGAACTCACAACCTCTGGGTTACATGCCAAACGCTCTGCCAATTGAGCTAACGGAAAATCCGTCGATCAATCGACAGGAATGTCGAGTTCTCATTACCCACCAGGCGGCAGAATCCTTCCAATTCCCGAAGTCACTCAAAATCGTCCACTATATGAAGTATCGCAGGCAGTATGGTACTATACAGTCTCCATTATTTGGATGAAATTGGTAATCGAAATTGACAATGACTTTGGTTGAAAACAGAATGTTGGACATTTCGGTAAAAAAAATCAAACAAAATTGATTTTATAACATTTGGAGGAAATTTTTTATATTTCGAGCTACGACTCGACTATGAAACTCCAGCCGCGGCATCAAATATTGTCCTTTTCTGCCTAGTGGATCAAATAACTATTCTATTACACCTGATGAAGCAGGAAGATCTAGGAGAAATATTTCTGACACAGTAACTTGGAAATGGAAGCACTTTCATCGCTAATCTCAATAATTGTATGCATTCGCTATTTTATCGTTCCCAAATACTCTATGTTTAGTTTTCAAAAATAGAATTCTCAGGACTCATTTCTATTCAATATAAACTTTCATGTAAATACAGGCTGATTCACGGTGGATGGCACATTAGACGTTTCTGGTGAACCAGACAACGGATCATTTTGAAAATTCAATGGAGGGTATATTCGGACATTCTCTAGCCAACTAAAATATTTTCGAAAATGCGGTGTTGCCGCTTCTATTAGAAAGCAGTAGCAACTTTGATTTTTCAAATGGAACACTCTGTATTTTATTGCATTTTTAGATTCTCCCTGAAGAGCTGATTTCATCGATGTATCACAATTAGGGTCTAGCGGAAATGATTACAGAGATATAGGGTGTGAAAAATCGACATTTTTCAACTTTAGGATTTTTTTGTGTCGAAACTATTCATCATTGGTCAAAACGGCTTTCATGTCCCTATCTCAACTTTTGATCAACTATCTACTGATATTTAATTGGGACATATACCAGGTGATCAAGATTCTGAATTCTGCACCACCCTGTATTTGTTTCAATTAAATGTCAGTAGATAGTTGATCAGAAGTTGAGATAGGGACATGTGAGCCGTTTTGACCAATGATGAATAGTTTCGACACAAAAAAATCCTAAAGTTGAAAAATGTCGATTTTTCACACCCTTTATCTCTTTAATCATTTCCGCTAGACCCTAAGTGTGATACATCGATGAAATCAGCTCTTCAGGGAGAATCTAAAAATGCAATAAAATACAGAGTGTTCCATTTGAAAAATCAAAGTTGCTACTGCTTTCTAATAGAAGCGGCAACACCGCATTGTCGAAAATATTTTAGTTGGCTAGAGAATGTCCGAATATGCCCTCCATCGAATTTTCAAAATGATCCGTTGTCTGGTTCACCAGAAACGTCTAATGTGCCATCCACCGTGAATCAGCCTGTATATTGTTCTTCAGATGACTTGAAATTTTCTAGGATCAACAACATGTATTCTTCCTAATTTCATGAGCATAACAAAATTATGTCTAATACATACCTACATGCGTTGTTGAAAATAACAGGAAATTACTCGGGTAAGCTTTCTAGTTCACCCACAATGTATAACGAGGTATAACACTGTCAATTACTTGAAAATACCAATTCGCCAAATTGGCTAAATGAAGGATTCATATATATGGAACCCAGTTATTTGAACTAGGTAACAAATTCAATTTGGCAATTGTCAATAGTTATATTATGATGATTTACTACCAATCGTACTCGGATATTCCGAATCTAAATATTGTGAATCCTTGATTTCTTGTCGATTCCACAATCGAAATCATCCTAATGAAAATCTGTGGTTGATAATACATTTATTATTGTTGAATTCAATAGCAGAAGGATCATCGAGGACAAAAGCGTAAATGTCGTTGCATTTGCAGATAATTCATCCCCAACTTATTGATAAGTCGCATGGAGTTCTGATAGAGTGCCAAGTGAGCATCGCATTCAGGAATTGTATAATGAAGGATCTGATATCGCGAACTAGCCAGGGACGGATTCAAACATAGGCGACATAGACGGGCGCCTAGGGGCCCGCACCACTAAAAAATACAAAATAATGTCACTTGTCATGTTTTATCATCGTAGATAGTACGTTCTACGTGCATGTACTTGATACAAAGTATAAACCTACCATGATTGTGAATGTACAGACGATCAGGGCTATTGTGCATTTGTGGCTAAACTTCTTGGCCTTGCTGAGAATAGAACAGGATATTTTGAGACAAGTCAACCATGAGAATATCATTAACGCCTTCATTATGGGGAAGCTGAGACCGAAACCGACCAGTGAGAGTGACTGAAATCAAGATGATTCGCAGTACATTTGATATTGATAAAAAATTTCATTTAAGATATACTCATGATCTGAAGAAGAGAGAAGAAGCAGTCAATATTGATTTGTACTTTTCTGGTTGATTCACCAATGTACAGGCAAATTGAAAAAAATGTCGTGGTTGGATGTTGTTAGCGCTCTTATTGCAGGAGTGACTAGAACTACTACTATCACCGCCAATCAATGACATTTGCATCGGCAACTGACTGTACATTATGTTGTTGAAGTTATGTTTACTATTGTGGCTTATCTTCACCGAAAATGAACAGTTTTATGAATTAAAACACATGTCAGTTAGTTTTGGCCGACAGCTTGATCTCGTGCTGAGCCGATGCATTCCATTAGTCCGAACGCGTCAGGCCACGCGAAGTTTTCAGAGTAGGAGGCATCTAAGTGATCAGCATATTGCTGCTCAGACTTTGTTAAGTCGTTCTGGTGTACAGAAGAGCATAAAAGGATGTCAGCTGAAATAAACTGACGTGGCCTGACAAGACAATATTTCCAAATGTATATATGTAAAACTGCATGATATACTCCTATTAGTTATTAATTTATCGATGAACTCATAGGTGTTGGAACATTTGCTCTAACAGCAAAAGGATAATTTGTTACAAAAATCTCGTGAAACAATATGTACAAGAAAGGGGGCTAAAAATGAGGTGAAGAGAGTGCGGACGCATTGAGAAGGCTGCCAAGAGATGCCTTCTATGTGCGATTTGCTGATGTTTGTCTAGGTGGTCGAGGACTGGTCAACGAGGCTCTGGCAACCTAATCCAAGCTGTGGGAACCCGTGGCGATGGATGGATGGCACCGAGGGATGGTGTCGCTAACGGGGCCTCTGGGAAACAGGGCAACATCCCAGAGTAAACAGCCTTAGCCCTGTGCAGGGGGCACCACAGGGCTGGACCAACCCCTTCCCCCGTCACTCGTTGGAGAAGGAAAACTTTTGGCCTTCTTCGTAGACGAGAACAGGGATCGGAAGAGCAATCTTCAGGAACCTGAACGAAAAGGGTCTTTCATATTGAAGTGGCCCTTAACAGGCACCATGAGTCGTATGTGGTAAAATTGATAATTGTCGTCGGAGCCTACAACGGGGTGGAGTGTTTAGTGGGTATACCATGTATCACATGTAGAGCTTAGGGACTTGTATTTTCTAAATCCGGCGCTGGAGCTGGTGCATCTTGTTTGCCCGCACACGATAGAAACGGCAGCTCTGGGACTAGCGCTCAACCCTCTGCTATTATCTAGAAATTGTCTTGGATTGTCTTTTCCTCTTTGCATTGTTCCGTAGAACTGACGGTATTCTACTCTACTGCGGTTTCGTCGTTTTTTCGCAATTTGATCTCGTTACGTAAGTGCTCGGTGAGTTGGTAAATAAATGATTGCTCGGCTTTGTGGTCGGAAATTTTGACTGTAAAAAGGACAGATTTTCCTGATTATAATCATTGTGCTACTGAATGACTTGGATGTCTCATGAGAGTTTCTCCACAGTCTTATTCCGAAAAAAGAGAAGTTGCTACGAGAGATATATCACAATCTTAAGATGACCAGGTGGTTATTATTTTGCTTCCTTGTTTCATCAACTCAGAAGTTTTGACTTTGAAGTCAGTATAGACCAGAAGGTTCATGTTGTTGTTGACAATATTGCTAATTCCTAAACGGTGATAGATAGAATTGATTAAATTAGGCAGAAGTTGCGTAATTTGAACCTCTTCAATATGAGGTTCTGCAATTACGAAAAATCTCAGCCGTTCCTGAAATATTTTGAAAAAAATTAAAATCACTGATTTCGTTTTTATTCATTTTCTTGGTTATTATTAGAGGCACAAAAATTGAAATTCCGAGAAAGCAGGTCATTAATCACGAAACAGAAGTTGGGATTGAGAAGTTGTTCACTGTTTTAAAGCGCTATTTCATGTGGAAATGTCTATTCAATGGTAAAAAACAAATATCGCGCCCATGAGAGAAACAACGTTGCATGGTGAATATTGGAGAGAGAATATTTCTGACATGTTAACAATCCCAACAATCGCAACTTCTTTGTTATGATAAATTACCTGCTTACACAAAATTTCAATATTCTTCCTCTGATATCAACCAAGAAAAAATAAATAAAAACAAAATCAGTGATTTTCAGGTTTCTCATAATACTCCAGGAACGGCAGACATTTTTTGAAATCGCAAAACG